TTAATATTTTCAGGCCATGGATGATTGAATCCATGAATAAAAAAAATCCATGGATACAGAGAGCCGATTCTACTTGTCATTAATGAAGCTGTACTCTTGGTAACTGAGTTTTCTTTCCATGTCCCCTTTGAACCCGGGACTTTATCACACAACCCCTATTCTCACTGCAATCGCATTAAGGAAGGGATGTGCATACATACCAGTTTGGGAGCACTCCTTTCTGCATGTCCTTCCATTAGCATGACTGGACTGTTGCTGATGCCACACGCTCTCTTCCACTCATGTCCTTAACACCACCTCCCTGCCCTATGATCTACCCAGCATGCCTTTTAGGGGAGTGTTTTAGCACAGTTCTGGAGTTGTGCTAATGTAGTTTAACAAAAAAATAATTACAAGAAAAAATAAAATAATGTAAAACAAAAAAGAGACTGTTCTGGAATTGCAAAGGGGAGTGAGGCGGGAAAGAGACACTGACACCACGTGACTGTGCAATCCTAGAGCTGCCACAGGATAATTTACCGCACCTGTGGAGTAGCACTATACCAGCCTGATCGGGAGCTTATTGACAGGTTTTTCCTATCAATGACAAGGTGTGGGCTAACCATGATTGGAAGACAAGGCAGTGATGAGACGGCATCATGCAATAAGTATTGCCAAAGATGATCTTATTGAATTTTTATGCCGGTTTCAAAGTCACATGTGATAAAGTCCCTAGACTGAGCAGGACCTGAAAAGATCAGATCCTCCAGATCAGTACAGTTCCACACCCCCAACAGTCAAGGAAGATTTGAAGGTGTGTCTGTTTCAACACCTGCGGTGCAAATACATGGTGCCGGTCGGTACATGGTGCAGGAAATTGCTGGGGTAAGCTCCATCTCTTGGCACATCATTAGTGATTTCTGACAATGGTTCTGATCCTCCAGCTTGCAATGGTATCCTTTCTTGTGATAGCAGCTAGCAAGGCACTGCAGAAGATGAAAGAGGACTTTTCATCTCAGAATGAAAATGTTGACAAGGGCAAAAACACTGAGGTTCTGTTTCTGTGTACCTTTTGAACAAAAGAGTACCGAATCATCTCCCTGGGCTTCTGTTGAATGGACTTAGTTCACTTCTTTTGCTATTCATTCCAGCAAAAGA